TATTCTCATATATCACCAGCCTATATCTCTATGACGGATGCATATATATAAGAATGCATATATTTCTATGAGCATTTAACGATTCATGCAAAGTATAGGGGTATATCTCTATCCCCTATCAGACCTTACGATGATTTATACCTTATCGAATTTATTTCCCTTCTCTCAAATGCAAAAAATAACTCACCACGCACCACATAATTACGTGCACTTATTTATGGAAGAAATTAATGTATATAAATCATTCAAATAATTAAAAACGTGTTTTAATGTCGAATTGAAAAACTAGAAATCAAAAAATCACATTACATAGTTCATCGATCTCCTAGTACAAAATATTTAGCCTAACATGGAGAAAATAAAAGAATACATGATTTCTTGAAGATAAAACATCACCGGGTTATGAATTCGTGTGAAATCTTGATTGAAATCCTTCGTTACTTTCGCTCAAACATGATAGTGGCTTAATAATAAACAAGCATGGCTTAATAACCTGCCATGTCTCAGGATTGGACTAAGTATTTGACTTCAAAAAATTTTGATTAGTGCAAGAATGAAATTTGATTAGTGCAAGATAGTGACTTAATATTAAACAAACATCGCTTAATAACTTGCCATGTCTTAGGATTAGACTGAGTATTTGGCTTCAAAAAAATTTTTGATTAGTGTAAGAATGAAATCAACCTTTACATGTTAGTTGTATACCCGACGTGAGTTTGTGAGATCATGTCAACATATTCAGTTCATGATGGGGTTAGTCACGACCCAGAGTGGTCAAATATGTTCTTATTTTTCTCGAGAGGTACACAACCCTCCAAACTTATTCTTTTCACTCAATTATCTCGGGGTTGTGTTTTAAAGTTAAAGTTTAGGTAATTGCAGTCCTTACCCTCTTTTAGTTTGGATAGATCTTACTATCACGAGTTCACATGTCAACAAATGAAGGCTCTCCCTGATTTGATTGCTTCAACACTTAAGATTAAACTAAGTTACTAGGCTCACCTCAAAGGTATAGTTTCTTCAACCAAATGTCCAAGGGCCTCTTGATATTATCGTGTCTTTTCTCACTTATTTTCTGAAGAAATTTTTTTATGTCATCTTCTCATTTGTTTTTTGTATAACCCCTATAACAAATTTTAGGCCGATGACTCTCAAATCAGTTGGTTTTAGGGCACTAGATTTTAAACACTTGTAAGTTCATTCACTCAAGTTATAAAGGCTTGATTAGATGACTTTTCATTCACCTCTTCCATCTTGCTTTCTATATTACCTATGTAACGAGTTTTGGGCCAATGACTCCCAAATCAGTTGGTTTTAGAACATCAGATTTTGAAATATCCTTACAAGCTTACTTGCTCGAGTCATAAAGGCATATGAAAATGTGTCATGTTTTTACAAATTAGATTTATGTCCTTTATTATTTTTCTAGACAATTGGCCTCCAAAACCAACCCCAATTTAATATTTTCACATAATCTTCATTGTACTGCTCTAGACAATCCACACAATAGAATTCATACACGGAGCCTCCAATTATCTCGATGCTCCCCTATGATTGCTCAACCATCTCCAAACTGCCTTAAGGTGGTTTACTATTTGATTCATTAGAGGGTTATCATTCTTCTCCTACTTTATGTTTAAAATCCCAATTACTAACCTAACATGTCGAGTATGAGTGACGTGCATAAAGAATGTCAGGTATTACATTAACAAGTATTGGTCAATCTATTCGATACCATATCCACAATTTGTAAATTATATCAGTGCAATAATCACATCATAGTAGACAAGATTATCAAGCCCACATAAGCATGCATGAAAGGAAATACAGCAAACTGAATAAAATGCAAGGATTTTTTTAAACACTCATCAAGCATATAATATGCAGTCATGAAACATAGTTATTGATGAATATAGACAAAGTGATGAAAAGATGTTTGCGTCCAAGATTATGTCACCCACCCCCAAACTTAAATAATACATTATCCTCAATATAAAGTTAACTTAAGTTCGAAAGACATAATTGAAGGACAAGTATGGGCAAACAGTACTCCTCTAATCAATATGGATGTGGTGGTGGAAAACTTGGTCTCGCTGCATCGTGCCTTGGTAGTCGAGATAGGCGCGCTAAGATCTCTTCATCATCGCAGACTGTTGTGCCATCTCAGCTTGGAGTTCGCTAATGTTTGTCCCCATGCGGCCATGCGCTCCCAAGTCTCATTCACTCAAAGCTAGATGCCATCTACCCAGCCCACATACACATTCAGCCGTCTGTTCATAGTGTCCATCTCCCTTTTAGCCGCTCGGGATTCCAGGTGAGCAACTTGTGCCATATTTTGGGTGGTCAAAGCCCCCAAAGCCTATTGGAAACCTATATGTTACGGCTAGTCTGTTTGTCCCCATGCGGCCATGCGCTCCCAAGTCTCATTCACTCAAAGCTAGATGCCATCTACCCAGCCCACATACACATTCAGTCGTCTGTTCATAGTGTCCATCTCCCTTTTAGCCGCTCGGGATTCCAGGTGAGCAACTTGTGCCATATTTTGGGTGGTCAAAGCCCCCAAAGCCTATTGGAAACCTATATGTTACGGCTAGTTTCCATGAGAGTCGCAAACATCTGACTCAATAACTGTGTATCAACTTCCATTGTTGGTGGTGGTGCCTGGGCATCTCAACATAATCGGGTCCCCGGCCCTGTGCAGCCTGCTGTTGTCTTCGTCACTCTCTCTTGTTCCTCCCAATGTCTTACTCGAGCTCGCTCCTAAGCCTCAAATGTGGTACCCTTTATCGGGGGGCTGGATTTTTTAGGTACCTCCTCTAATAGGATAGTGATGCCTGCAGCCCTGCATATGCCACTGATGAGGCTAGGGAAGATCATCAAAGTGGCACGTTGATCTCTCCTGGTTCCCATGGTGTATATTTGATTGTAGATGAGAGTGGCGAGATCTATCTTGCACTCTCGAACCAGATGATAAATGAACCTGCTATTTGATCAGTAAATGTAGTCTTGTGTGATGTGGGCTCAATATTGTGGCACATGAAGAGCCATAGAATAGCAATGGAAGGTGTGAGCCCAATTTGATGCCATTCAGTAGTTGCGAGGGCCATACATTTTCCCGTCCTAGTAAAACCTCTGCCACTCATTCCAGTTGAATTCAGTGGGGATGGGAACCACATTTTCCATGTCAAGCTGATAGTAGTCATGGATGACACCCGGGGAGAACATAATCCACGTTCCTCGTACCCATGTCTAATGTATATGCTCTGAACCTAGGGTGTCAATCTCACTATTGAAATCGACAAAGAACTCTCAGAATAGATTCTCATAGACTGGGTGTGGTCGCTCTACCAATTTGTGCCAACCACAAATCTGAACTAGGTTTACCAATTCATAACCCGAAAAATCATCAAGTCAAACGGGTCTTTCAGGATACATTGTCTAATGGTGTATGATGTTGTCATATCAGGCTACAGTATCAGTGTTCAGGAACCTCTGTAAAGCCCTTCGAGCTCTGTAGTTCGCGCAGTTTCTAAAGATGAGCCGGCTTTTTCTTTCCCTTTCGAAGTTCTCTTAGGCGTCATCCTACAAATATTTGAAAAATAAAGCTCATTAGGCTTCATGTTGAAAAACAAGGAATGGAATGAGAAAACTAAGCATGTAATTCAAAAATCTCCCCAAACTTGCTTCAAAATGCATGTACATGAAGTTGGCATGTAAAGTGCATGAACTATGTCTCAAAATGGGTTAACATGTCAAAATAAGAATTTACCAACAAGACTTGGCTCAAACACATGCAAATTGTGCAATAGGACCGATGACCAACTAAGGATGTTCACGCACGGGTATCATCGAGAAAAATTGAATTTTTCCTGAACGACGTCCGGGCATATGAAAATATTTATATCAGTGTAGCAAATATTCAAATATCAAGTCATTCGGGCTTCATTTGGGTATTCAAATCAAGTAGCAAAGTAGGTACGTGATGTGACGTGAAGTGCCATGACCAAACCAAGTGGTGCCTATATTGTGGATTTTGGTTTACATGATTTCCAATTCACTTGTCATGGGAATTCATCACAAAATAGTCCATTGCAAGATTTGGCCACATAGGCAATTTATCAAACACATGACTTGCATTATGTTAAACTCTAACAATTTGACTAAATTGAAGAATGAACTCCATTGATTTCCACAACTCAATCACCACAAAGTCTCCCATTAACTATCCCATACTCCTTCACTATCTTCACAAACTGAAAATTGCACTTATTATTTATTCCAACAAAAAGAACCGACATGGATTGTGAAACATTACCTTGAGGTCTTGTAGAGGTTGATTTGATTTCACAACGGGTGAATGATAATTGGTGTTGCAATGAACGTTATATGCAAGATTGTGTGTGCAATTGTGAGTTTGTGTCGTAAAATTTTGGGAAAGAACTTGCCCTAGAGTGCGAGTGTTGGGGGTGGGGAACTGTGAGGTGAAGAGTCAAGTTACGAGTTTATTCTACCATGCGACCGCATGGTGTTAATCCATGATGTCGCATGGTATAATATTTTTTCCTCATTTAGTTTTTGGCTGCATGGACACCATGTCTATGCGACCGCATAAACACTCATTTTTTAAACATATTTGATTCCCCCAAAAAATATGACCTTTGACCAAACTTTTCCCACAAATTGGTTTTCAAATTATGAGTTGGCCAACCTTCCACTGACTCCAAACTTTTCACAAATGTAAATTTTTTAACCTTGTGGGGGTTGTAGGCCATAGAATTAATGCTAACAACCAATTTTGAATTTGAGAACATTCTTTTCCTTGAAATGCAGGAAATTCATCCCCAATCACCCAAAACAACTTAATTCATACCTAACTCATGCTCAATGCATGGGGATCGTGTGGAATGTGCTTAAACTATGAAAATAATGCAAACATGAAATTGAAAATTTCCTAAGCTACATAAATCAGAAGGATACAGTGTGTTGCCTCCTATCCAGCGCTAGTTTATAGTCAATGGCTCGACTTTCCCGTAGCTGCTTAATTCTGGTGTCCCGATTTGAACGGTGGACTTTTGCTTGGAGAAGTCACCACCCCAATAGTATTTTAGCCTTTGCCCATTAACTGTAATGGTACCCTTAGTTTTGTGGCTGACTTCTATTGCTCCACATGGCAAAACCTTTGTGACAGTATAGGGACCCGACCACCTTAACCTTAATTTTTTCGGGAAGAGCTTGAGTCTAGAGTTGTACAATAACACTTTCTGCCCCACTTCAAACTCTTGCCTCTGAATATGCAAGTCATGCCACTTCTTGGTTCGATCTTTATAGAGCCTTGAGTATTCATACGCTTCCATCCTGAATTCATCTAACTCATTAAGCTGCAGTAAACGCTTTTCACCAGCGGCCTTCAAATCCATGTTTAACTATTCCATAGCCCAATATACACGGTGTTCTATCTCTAGTGGGAGGTGGCACACTTTTCCAAAAATGAGGCAATATGGAGACATGCCTATCGGTATCTTAAATGCTATTCTATATGCCCACAATGCATCGTCCAGTTTTTTAGACCAATCCTTTCGAGAAGAATTCACTGTAACCTCAAGTATTCTCTTCAACTGCCGATTGGACACTTCAACTTGCCCGCTGGTCTATGGATGATATGGAGTTGCTATACGGTGTTTAATGCCATATTTACTCACTAACTGATCAAATTAACAATTACGAAAGTATTTGCCCCCGTCACTGATTATTGTATGTGGTGTACCATATCTGGTGAAGATGTATTTCTTCAAGAAGCCACTTACCCCCTTCGCGTCATTTGTTGGCAATGCAACTATTTCCACCCGTTTAGACACAATCAATAGCTACCAGGATATACTGATTTGAAAACGATGAGGGAAAAAGATCCCATGAAGACAACCCCCCAAACGTCAAATATCTCCACATCTAAGATGTTATCTAATGAGATATTTCCAGTGCATTGACATTTGTCACACCTCTTAACAAACACAGACGTTTCTGAACAATATAGGCCAATAAAATCCTAATGGTAGAATCTTTAAAGCAATCTTTGAAGCTCCAAAATGTACTGCATACGCTGATGAATGGCAATGTTCAAGAATCTCTGGTACTTCATCTTTAGGTATATATCTCCTTACAATCTAATCAGCTCCTCACCTATAGAAAATAGGATCTTTCCAAAAGTAGTACTTCAGTTCGGCAAAGAACTTTTCCTCTAATGACTTGAGTAATTTGGCGGTGAGATGGACTTAACTAGATAGTTGACGATATCTACATACCACGGTACTTTTTCTACATTGAATAACTGCTCATCTAGAAAAATCTCGTTGATATCCACGACACTTCAGGTTCTTCAAGTTCCAATCTCGATAGGTGATCTACTACCACATTTTCACTGCCATTTTTGTCCAGAATTTCAATATCAAATTCTTATAGCAGTAATACCTAATGGATCAATCTTGGCTTAGCATCCTTCTTTGTTATTAGATATTTCAGTGCGGAGTCATATGTGTAGACTATGACCATAGACCCCACGAGATATGACTTGAATTTGTCAAATGCATATACCACAGCCAATAATTCCTTTTTAGTGGTCGCGTAGTTGATATGGGGATCATTCAAAGTTCTTCTTGCATAGTAAATCACAAGGAAGATCTTATTCATTCGCTGTCCCAATACTGTCTCCACGACATGGTCACTGGCGTCGTACATTAGTTCAAAAGGAATTTCCCAATCTGGTGCTATGATTATTGGTGCTAACATGAGTTTCTCCTTCAAAGTGTTGAAAGCTGTCAAGCATTCCTCATTAAACTCAAACGGCACATCTTTCATCAATAGGTTGTATAATAGCTTGGTGGTTTTCAAGAAGTCCTTGATGAATCTTTTGTAAAATCCAGCACGTCCTAGAAAACTGCAAACACCCTTAACTGATGTAGGTGGTAGTAGCTTCTCAATAATTTTTGCTTTGTCCACTTCGATTCCCTTTGCTAATACTTGATGTTCTAGCACAATCCCCTCTTGCACCATGAAATGGCATTTTTCCCGATTCAACACCAAATTAGTTTATCTGCATCTTTGTAAGACCAAATTTAAGTGTTCCAAACACTCGTCAAACGAAGACCCAAAAATCGAGAAATCATCCATGAATGTCTCTATAAACTTCTCTACTATGTCTGAGAAAATTTTCATCATGCATCTCTGAAATGTGGCAGGAGCTTTGCAAATGCCAAAGGGCATCATGTGGTATGCGAAAGTGCAATAAGAGCAAGTGAAGGTTGTTTTATCTTGGTTATCTGGTGTCACTGGTATCTGATTGTAACTTGAATACCCATCGAGAAAGCAGTAATATGAGTGGCCCTAATCTTTCCATCATCTTGATACGTTACAAATCATGTTCCAATTAATTTTCCTTACTTAACTTAAATGTGTCGTCTTCAATAGTATTATGACAAGTAAAGGTCATTTTCCGCAGAGGATTGATTCAATTATGTCGATTGTGTACTAAAAAGTAAAATTAATAATAATATATGAAATATATTAAATGGAGGGTTTAGTTTGTTGAACTAAGGAAAGCGATAAATTTAAAATAGAAAAGACTTGAAATTTGAAATAAACAAATTGATTCTTGATTGAATGTGAGAAAATGTGATTGGGGGATATTTCGTTGCCACGAGAATGATTTTCATGTCAATAATCACAATAGATTTTCGCTCTCAAGATTAACAACAATTCGAGAATAATTACAAGCTCAATTACCTCAATCTCTTCTTACATCTAGATTTAATTTAACAAACGCATTACGACAAAAGAGATGAATTGAATTAAGAGTAAACTTGCAAGCTCGGTTTACTAACTTAAGTGTTAATACACATACATTCAATTGAAAATTCTTCATAATCTATCGAAATGTAATTGTTACTAGGTTTTAGAATCAATAGCTATTACGTACTACTAATCTCAAAATAGCATTCATCGAAACAACTTAATCATTTAGTTGTACACCTAAACAATCAAGAAGAACAAAATAAATATTTAACACAATGGATTAAACCCATTAATCAAGAGAATTATGAAGCACAAATTAATTGAAAATCATAACTCGGGTTTGAAATAATCCACAATCACAAATATAATTAGTTATCCATGAAAAATTCACAAATAACTAACGATTTCTTACAAAACATTGATGAAAAAGTGAAAAAAAAAAACTTATTGATAAAGAGAGAAATGGTAGAAAATCATTCAATATCAATGGGTCATCTTCTCCAAACTAATGCACCATCTCCATATTCCAATCTTCCCCAAAATGTCTAAGAAAATATAATTAAAAGGAAAAAGAAAAAGAAAGAAAACAAAAGACAAGAAGAAAGAGAAGAATCAGCTGCTCCACTGAAGTTCCAAGAAATGAAAATCTTGTGTTTGGTTGAATGTTTTAAACTAAAACCTAAAGGAAATTGCAGCATTGGTCCCTGAAATTTTGAAAATAATAAAAAACGGCCCGAGTAGCGCCTCGACGCCGAAATAGTGGCGCTTGGGCACCACAGTTTCTATTTCTGTTTTCTGTTCGGGCTAGGCGCAACTCGCTGATTTTTTTTATTTTTTATTTTTTTTTATAGAAACGTCCTTTTCCAATGTCTTCATGCTTCCTTTATCTTTTTCGTCTTTTCTCGCATAAATAGCTTCTAATCATCGTTAAAGTCGGGTTTTCACATACACAAAAAAATAACTAAATTAAGTAATAAATCACAAATGAAACGCACAAATATCTAAGTTTAATGTCCCGAAATAGTGCAAAAACTCGCACTTATCACACCCCCAAACTTAAATCTTTGTTAGTCCTCGAACAAAGCTATACAAACAAACATACAAACACGTAAATTAAAACCAAACGATAAAAATATAATAACAAACACTCCAAATGTCAGATAGTTTGCCACTTGCTTCAAGCCTTACATTATGCAACTGACTTATGAAATATTTACAAATATGCTACAACAAACACTCTTTAACTTATACCATGCTTGACTTTTGTGTGTGTGTGTGTGTGTGTGGTCATTCCAATTCATCGCAATACACAAGTTGGTGATTTTCCCGACCCTCAATGGTCAAATTTTCCTTTCTAACTTTTGGGAGGCACACTCCCCCAAACTTGATATTTTCACTCTAGCCCAAGATGTCAAAAACTTAAGGTTGCCCTCAAATTACTCAATCTTTCCCTCTCAAATTTGGTTAGGTTGAACCGATAAAATAGATCATCTAGTCATGTCTTAATTCGCCAAAAATTTTAAGTGCTTAGACCACAAACTTGTGTTAGACAAATTACTCACAGTCCATCAATTCTTCAACAAAATCACCCTTAGATGCTTATAGCATCCTTTTTTATTTTTCTTCATTTTTCCAATGTAGGTAGTTCTCGCCCTAGTCCCTAAGGGTAGCCTTCTTCATTTGTAGATCGTCTCCTACACATTGGTGACGCATAGGGCCAAATTACTCAATGTTGACTCATACTCCTTAGGGTAGGCAACTTTTTCCTACAGATTTTTTTTTTATTATGAATTATCAATAGATGGAAAACAACATCTAACTTTCATTTGAAGTCTAAGAACATTCCAAAAAATCAATCACTCAGTCGGGAATTAATACAATTCTAAATAATTTATTTTGCCGGTTCAACCATCCCCAAACTTATCCTTTCATTAGTAGAGTAATTGAAGAATTTCTAATAGTATGGTCATTTAAGTTCATTAACAACCTACAAGTGCAACCAACAAGTGCGTGTGATGAATCTCATGACCCATATGCTCAATAAAGAGTCAATCATGAAATAAGTTGATGAAAATAAACAACACTTAGCATTCATGTTACCGTTTCATAAATCAATACAATGCAATACTCAAAATGCAATTGGCAAAACTATCAAACAACACAAACAAGCACAAAAACAAGTGTTTAACCCGAATTTTTGAGTTTTTAGCGAGAACAAAATTTGCACAAACCACAAAATTCTACAAAAAAAATTTAGCACATACCACCTCATCTACAAACTTAAATTGCACATTGTCTTCAATGTAAAAGCAAAAAGAAATAGAAAGTGCAAGAGGTTCAAATATTCTCCTAGTGGTGATAACGGTGATGGCTGTGATGATGGTTGGGAACCATTAGCGACAAAAATTCACAAAAAACAAAAATGTTGTTTGGTTCTTTATTATGATCACCAGTATTGTTTCCCCTCTCCAAAACATAATTCAAATGCTCGGGAAAAGGTTTGAGTTCCAAGGAGGGGGCCTGCATCACCGAACGTAAAAGTTTCTCTTTAGACATCAGAAGAGTAATATAGGAGAGATTATACATTGGTAAAATACTTGGTAGTGACTTAAGTGATGCCACAGTTTCAACAATATCATCACACAGTCGTAGATTCTTCCTCAACCCGGTGAGATTATCAACATCAATGTTTTTAATCAAAGTGGTGTCCAATGCATCTTCATTTGATAATTTGAAATTTTTTGCCTTAATGAATCCATTATATCTATTGGAAAACAAGCATGAACATCACTAGAATACCTCATTGTTTCAAAGATATTGAAGCGAATAGTCTCACCATCAAATGTCGTTGTCAAAATACCGTTATGTACATCTATCTTTGTACGCACAATCCTCATAAATGATCTTTCCAAGAGCAATGGTGGCGACAGAGATGTTGATTTATCTTGCATGTCAAGAACATAGAAATCTGCTCGAAAAATCAATTGATTTACCTGTACCAAAACATCCCCTAACACACCATTTGGAAATGCATTAGATCTATCAGCAAGTTGAATAATAACACCGGTTTCCTTAAGTGATCCCAAATTTAAAAAAGCATAAATAGAATATGGCATGACATTAATAGATGCTCCTAAATGTAGCATTGCTTTTTCAAACCCAGTGTTACCAATAATGCAAGGAATGGTAAAACTTCCTGGATCCTTACATTTTGGTAGAAGTTTCTTTTGCAATTCTATCAAGACATTTTCTCCTACGCTTACCACTTTATTATCTTTCAATATATGCTTGTTAGTGCACAATTCCTTGAGCAACTTTGCATAACGTGGCACTTGATAAATGGCATCCAAAAGTGGTATGTTCACTTGAATCTTGCGAAAAGTCTCCAATATTTCCTTCTCATGTTCACCCCTTTTGGACTTTGCAAACCTGCCAGCAAATAAAGGGGAGGGAACATAATTAGGAATAAGACTTTTAGAATCTACCTTAGATCCCGAGGTTGGAGTCTTAGATTTGTCTTTCTCACATGCTAAGTTCGTCTCTTGTGTTGACTCCTCAACTTGATATTTAATTTTCCTTGGTGCCTCTTCCAAGATTTTTCCGCTTCTTAGTGTCACGGCAATAGCATTTTTTCTCGGGTTGATTGCTTGAGAAGGAAGTTTTTCGATCCTTGAGCCTCCAATTTACCCACCATGTTGGCCAATTGACTCACTTGTGTCTGCAAATTCTTAATTGAGATTTTTGTCTCTTGTTGAAATTGCATTGTACTAGAATTTAAAGATTTCAACATATCTTCAAGAGACATCTTTGAACTTTGAGACAAAGTTTGTTGACGAGGTTGAGAGTGTTGTGGTTGCCTTTGTTGATTGAACCCCGGAGAATGATTAAACTGTGATTGTGGAGTTATGAAGTGATTTCCTCCGTAATTGAGATTAGGATGATCTCTCAATCAAGGATTAAAAGTATTAGCATATGGATCATATCTATGTCTCTGTTGCATTGAAAATCTCCCAATGGCATTTGCTTGCTCTGAGGCTCTTTCTTGTAGTGTCGGGCATGCATAGCTAGGATGTCCTACAATAGAACAATTCCCGCACACTTTTGCTTGTTGCATTGTCCTAAGTGCCATTTGTTGCACAAGCGATGTAAGACTGGCTAATTGTCGTTTAATTTGAGAGGTTGCTCCTACCTCACTTGCTTGTTTAACAGGTGCCACTTCTCTACTACCAAATTGTTATGAGTTTGCCACCATGTTGGCTATCAAATTCCTAGCAACTGTCAGTGTTTTATCCATTAAAGCTCCTCCACTGGCCGCATCAATCATACTTCTCTCCATCGGGAGTAATCCTTCATAGAATTATTGTAGAAGTAATTGCTTACTGATTTGGTGGTTTGGGCAACTAGCACATAGCCTTTTGAATCTCTCCCAATACTCATCGAGATTTTCCCCTTGAGATTGTTGAATGCTACAGATTTCTTTCATGATGTTTGTAGCCTTTGAAGCTGGGAAATATCTATCCAAGAAGAGCTTTTGCATTTCATTCCACGTGGTAATAAGACCCGCCGACAAGTAATAGAGACATTCCTTAGCAGTGTCTACAAGAGAGAAAGGGAATGCCCGCAATTTCACTTGCTCTTCCGATATACCCGTTGGTTTCATGCTTGAGCAAACCACATGAAACTCTTTCAAATGCTTATTTGGATCCTCTCCAACGAATCCATGAAATGTGGGAAGTAGATGAATCATCCCGGACTTTAGTTCAAATCCCACCTCCACTTGAGGATTTTGAATGCATAGACGTTGTTGAACAAAAGTTGGAGCTCCAAGTTCCTTTAAGGTCCGATTTGCATCCACCATTTCGGTCTCTATATGTTTAGAGTCACTTGAGGATTCAATGCTCAATCGCCTTAAATGTCTAGTTGGAGAAATGTCTTCTCCACTTTCCGATGTGTCGGCCTCTTTTCTTGATCTTAGGTTGTAGTGTTTATTGGCTTTTTGCTCATTCATAAGCTAAATGACAAAGAAAATAACAAAACTAAATAGAAAAACAACAAAAATAAAAATATTGCAATTAACAAATTGATAGAACAATCCCCGGCGACAGGGCGCTAAAATTGATACGTTACAAATCACGTTCCAATTAATTTTCCTTAACTTAAATGTGTCGTCTTAAATAGTATTATGGCAAGTAAGGGTCATTTCCTACAGAGGATTGATTCAATTATGTCAATTACGCACGAAAAAGGTAAAATTAATAATAATATACAAAATATATTAAATGGGGGGGGTTTGGTTTGTTGAACCAAGGAAAGCGATAAATTTAAACTAGAAAATACTTGAAATTTGAAATAAACAAATTGGTTCTTGATTGAATGTGAGAAAATGTGATTGGGGGATATTTCGTCGTCACGAGAATGATTTGCATGTCAATAATCACAATAGATTTTCATTCTCAAGATTAACAACAATTCGAGAATAATTACAAGCTCAATTACCTTAATCTCTTCTTACATGTTAAATGAATAAAACAAGCTCTTTACTCAACCCTATTCATTAAAAAACCTAGAACAAGCTCTCTAAATATAATTTAACAAACGCATTACGACAAAAGAGATGAATTGAATTAAGAGTAAACTCGTAAGCTCGGTTTACTAACTTAAGTGTTAATCCACATACATTCAATTGAAAATTCTTCATAATCTATCGAAATGTAATTGCAACTAGGTTTTAGAATCAATAGCTATTACATACTACTAATCCCAAAATAGCATTCATTGAAACAATTTAATCATTTAGTAATACACCTAAACAATCAAAAAGAACAAAATAAACATTTAACATAATGAATTAAACACATTAATTAAGAGAATTATAAAGCACAAATTAATTGAATGTCACAACTCGGGTTTGAAATAATCCCCAATCACAAATATAATTAGTTGCCCATGAAATATTCACAAATAACTAACAATTTCTCACAAAACATTGATAGAAAAAGTGAAAAGAAAAATTTATTGATAAAGAGAGAAATGGTAGAAAATCCTTCAATATCAATGGGTCATTTTCTCCAAGCTAATGCACTATCTTCATGTTCCAATCTTTTCCTAAATGTCTAAAAAAATATAGGTGAAAGAAAAAGGAAAAAGAATGAAAACAAAAGATAAAAAGAAGAAGAAGAACCAGTTGCTCCCTCAAGTTCCAAGAAATAAAAATCTTGTGTTCGGTTGAATATTTTAAACTCAAACCTAAAGGAATTGCAGCATTTGTCCTCGAGATTCTGAAAACAATTAAAAACGGCCCCGGTGGTGCCTAGGCGTCGGAACAGTTTCTGTTTTCTGTTCGGGCTGGGCACTGTGGCGCCCAGCTCGTTGAATTTTTTAATTTTTTTTTTATAGAAACATCTTCTTTCAACGTCTTCATGCTTCATTTATCTTTTTCATATGTTCTCGCATAAATACCTTCTAATCATCATTCAAAGTCGGGTTTTCACCTACACAATAAAAATAACTAAATTAAGTAATAAATTACAAATGAAACTCACAAATATCTAAGTTTAATGGCACGAAATAGTGATAAAAAACCCGCACTTATCACATCTGATCAATAAACGAAAGGGGAAAGTGATTTTTCCTTGTAGCTAAATTGAGTTTACGGTAATCGATGCAAACCCTCCATCCCGTCACTACTCTGGTTGGTATCAACTCATTCTTCTCATTTGGCACTTCTGTGATTCTACCTTTCTTTGGTACCACCTGACTGGGCTAGTCCATGCACTGTCTGATATCGAATATATGATTCAATATCTAGAAGTTTGCTTATCTGACCACTTCCTTCATATTTGGGTTCAACCTCTTTTGACTCTCTATGGTTGGCCGAAAATTTTCCACCATGAGAATCTTATGCATGCATAGTGAAGGGATGATTCCTTTAACATCTGCTATAGTCCATCCAATTGCTGTTTTATTCTCCTCGAGTATTCTAAGAGTCCCTTGCTGATCCCATGATGTGGACACTTTCGCAACATATTTTTGAATCTATTCCAGGCTTCATCAAAATTCTCTGAGTCGCCTTGACGAAAAACAGATATACCATGCTTATGCTTTGCAATCTTGGCGGGCAGGAAGAACTTAGTGCAGAATTTTTGAGCTAGATCATTCCATGTAGTGATGCTGGTGATTGGTTGCAAATCTATCCATTCGATTGTCTTGTCGCGTAGTGTATGTAGGAACAACCTTAATCTGATTGCATCATCTGAGATTCCTTAATATCTGAAGTGTTGGCACAGCTCCAAGAAGTGAGAGACGTGCATATGTGGATTCTCTTCAGTTCTTCCATAGAATTGATGTCGTCTTGAAATAGTTGTATCACATTGGTCTTCAGTTAGATGTTAAGCTGCCCAAATGGTGGATACACAATGCTCAACTGGCTTTGAATTATCTGAGGAGTCATGAAATCTCCTATAAGCATATTGCCTTCTTCCGCTGCCTCTCCTTCATTGGCTTGAAAAATGGGATTGTTCTATATATTAGCCATTTGTTGTTGTACTTCTCTATTTCTTGCTGCATTCAATGTAAAGTTCGTTCAATTTCTGAATCAGCTGGGACCAAGTCTCCTTTAGTAGACCTTACCATGCAAATCTGTGAGAAAAAATCAATAGAAGTGCTTCGATACTAAGATGAATCAAATAACTAAACAAAATAAAAATAAAGTAAAATGAAATAGAATAAAATAAAAAATGAAAATATTAATATTCGAATTAGTGCCAATGTAAATAAAATTAAACGAATACTTAATCCCCGACAGCGGTACTAAAAATTTGTTCATGAAATTATTCTTTCGATTTAAAACTTCCGCAAGTGTACAATTCGTTAACAAGTAATAAAGTTGAATATTTAGTTCTGAGTATCGTCCCACAGAGATTGAGTAGTTCAACTTTATCTACCGTAGCCTTAACCGAAACGAAATTATCAAAATTGAAGTTTCAACATAAGAAAACCCTAATTTAGCAAAACTATAATTTCGCTAAAATAATCTTGAATGAATTAAGAACGCAGAATAATGTATCTAAATGAATTGGAACGCAATATGATGGTTAAAATGCAAGTTGAATTTATTCAATGAAAATTAAATGCACTAGGATCACAAATTCCCATGCAATCATCATTTTAAACTCTAGTTTCACAATATGACAATACAATTGAATTGTTGAAGAATCAATGCTCCTAAATCTATCCAACACTCTCTCTCAAGCAATATTGAACCTATTCTCATATACCACCAGCCTATATCTCTATGGCGGATGCATATATATAAGAATACATGTGATTTTATGAGCATTTAATGATTCACACAAAGCATAGGGATATATCTCTATCCCCTGTTGAACCCTACGATAATTTATACCCTATCGAATCTATTTTCCTTCTCAGGAATGCAAGAAATAAATCACCATACATCAGATAATTATGTGCACTTAATTATGGAAGAAATCAGTATATATAAATCATTCAAATAATTAAAAACATGTTTTAATGTCGAATTGCAAAACTATAAATCAAAATATCACAATATATGGTTCATCGATCTCCTAGTACAATAATATTTAGCCTAACATGGAGAAAATAAAAGAATACATAATTTCTTGAAAATAAAACATCACTGGGTTATGAATTCATGTGAAATCTTGATGATCTTCGTGAAATCCTTCATTACTTTCGCTCAAAATCTTCCCAAGGTGTTTTTTTGTCTCCCAATGCATTCTCCCTCGAAATCTGACGAGTTTCAACAGAGTTTTAACAACAAAA